TTCCACAGAGTTATCGGAGCCCTGATGGGAGGGATTTGATGGAGACATTCCTTTTAAGGTTGAGTGCCCATGGTCTCTCACTCTCTACATAGGTCTGGGTGGTGATCTCTTTGTCTTTTCCCATTCTTGGCAGACAACTTTTTTGGTGACGGCTGAGCAAGGCATTGATCTATGGGTAGAACAGAATGTCATGAGGGGCCATTTTATTACTATGTAGTATTTAGTTTTCCCCTAGGACACTGGTCTATCTGATCTGAGTTCTTGGCCACCCAAACATCACTGGATACAGGTTCGATCTCATGGAAATGGCATTATGACAAATCAGACATTGGTTGAGTACTCCCATGGGTTTTGTGCCACTATTGCAACAGCATATCTTGCAGGAAAGTAACCATTGCACAAGGAAGGGATTTTAGGTAAGTTAGAGTTTACTTTTCTCCTCTAGTAAAGTGTACCTCCCAGTACTGTGAACATTAGTCCATATGGCTAATAAGGTTCTAGGTAGGCACCAGATTGACTTCACTGTGTTCACTGAGTTTTGTAGATGTTGTCTTTAATAATAATGCTTTACCATCAGTTTGTGGAAAGCCACTAATAGCTTTTGTATGGTGACTCATAAGGGATTCCTTCAACCAACAACTCAATTAGATGCAACCCATTTCTGATATGGAAAAGTTTATTTAGTGGCAAGGGGTGTTCATTTGGGGCTCCATCTCTCCCATTATTTGGAAATTTCATTTAGATGACACATAAGGAAGTTTTTACTATATTAGGTTTCCATATAACCTCTCAAATGGCCACTCTATTAATATTATCTTAAACATTGCTTTGAGATCAACATGATCTTTGCCATATTTACTTTAAGTAATCACTTTTTCTTTTTCCCTTTCATCCACCTTGATTGTTTAATGCTTTAAAAACTCAAGTTATATGATAGTCTCTGTCACTAAGATTTAGTAAAGTGTCCCTTGCTCTAAATATCATTCTATGTTAATCCCTGGCTCAAAGGGAGATAATCCATATAGAAACTCAAAAACTCTACCACTTACATATCAGCATGTTACCTGAACTCTTACAAAAGTTGTAGCTTTTACAGGTACAGAGGAATTGTGAGATCCTGAGCTCCCAATTCATATTTAAACATATATAAAAGTCATCCACTCTCAGCTCTAATGAACTGAAGAAACAACCACAGCATCTTCCATACCACATAGTATAAGGATATTATATTCTACAATATTTGTAGTGCACTAGAAAATGAAGAAACCTAAAGATATCCCTAGAAAGCATCACTTAATGTCTCTAACATTCCCATCCATATATGATAGATCCCATATCCATGACTTTGGGTAAATTTTTAAATTTCAACAGGCTTTGAAGATGTAATTAAGTTGGACAAATTTTCCTCTCCCATTCAATGTTTTTCAAACTAAAATCAATCTATTTTCTTTCATCAGTTTGTTTCCAAAATATTTCAAATATATGGGTGATAAAGCAACTTGTTTATGGACCTGGGTATTCAGTAGAAGTTGGGGCTTAATGCAGCCAGAAACATAATTTGAATTGAGTGGTCCCAGTCATTGTAATGGATGGAATTCAAACTGTTGAGATATTTTCCCCTGGTTTAATCACTCTCAAATGTTGGTCACCTAGAAATAATAAAATGTTTAAAAATTAAAGATGAAAGTAGCTTCTGAGTTTGAGATGTAAATAATTCTTATTTTACTTCTTTCCAATTAACATTTTAGCTATTTAATTTTATGAGTTAGAGAGTCCACAGTGAGCCATTATAGAATATGTCTAATGGTACCTCTTGGTGCTCATGTGTGAAGTTGCTTCATTTAGTTTGGTTATTTGACAAGGAAGTTCACATTTGCTTAGCAGAAAACTCACTTTCTCTATTGTTTCATGTAGCAGATTTTTATATTTATCTGTTCTGATTTTATTTTAATCTCTGTCTCCACATTAAAGTAAACAAGCATTTGGAGTTAAGTGAAATAACCTCCAGTAAAGTCATGAGAGGAGATAAATTGTGAGGTTTAATTAGAGGATCAGGTCCTGTTTAAAATTTTTTGTGTGATAAACATTAGAATACACTTTGAAATTCTATATTATAATTTTTAAGAGCATTGGAAAAGAAGAATCTGGGCTATATTTTATGGCCCGTATCTACAATTCTAGAAGATTTCCATTCCTTTTGTATATTTACTCAAACTTAGGCATCAGCTCTCACTTGCTATGTGATGGGAAAACAAATGACCTTTGTGAGTACAAACATGGTCTTGGTATGAGTGGCGCAGAAAAGACTCCTCTGGGTTTGCTCCTACTATCGCATTGCCTGGCTGAGCTAAAACCAGAGAGGTTTACAAAGGATCAGCGTCACAGTGGAAGGAGTGAAAACTGAGCTTGTAAAGGGTTCTTGAGAAAGGATGAATAAAGAAAAGGGGACTCCACAAGTAAGCACTGGATAGTTTTGGATGGCTTCAAAGCAAAGTAACTGGGGATAGGATGGTGGAGGGCTAGACGTCTCACTTATGTATTTCTGAAGACTGAAATGCCAAGGGGACAGTTCCATGAAGGAGAGGAAGAGATACAAGTGTTAGCAGTGAGCTTGCTGCTGTGCTAAAGGAGATGCCATTGGTAGGAATCAAGACATGAATTTCACTTGCAGAATGGCTGGTGTTACTAGTGTATATGGGCACAAAGTACTTGTGACTAGATGCATTGAGCCCCTACTAGTGCACTGACTGCTGCTGTTTTGGTGAATATTCACCTAATTGAATATACATTTTTGACAGCTCTGGAACTTTACAGAGATGGTGAGCAGCAGAACATAGATATAGACATAAGAACATTAAAGTGACATGGATTTAGCTTAAGCTAGGAATGGGTAATTATAGCTACCAAACACATCACAATGTGCAGAATGTGTGACAAATAACATGGAAATGTGTCTAACCTGTTTGGATGCATGATGTGTACCAATGATGAAGAGAATCATTCATGAAAATGAAACAATGTTGAACTTATTATGGGAAATGAGACTTTAGGTATGAACATTGTTCTCCCAGCTCTGAGACCTTTCAGCGGACATGCATGGCTGATAAGTAAGATGTAGCCAAAGGGTCAGCCTGGAGCCAGTCAGACATAAGAAGACAGGTGATGTCACAAACTCCTATGTAAGGGAATGGACCCTATCCCCAATTTTTCCCAGTACAGGACAACCAGTGAGGGCCTACTACACAAAGATGGCTCAATAGGCTTATGGAATTGCCTCAAGATGATGAATACTAATGTTATCATATGTGATGGCATTTGTAAAATTCCATTTTTTTCTATGATGAATCTTATTTTAAAAAAACTCTATGCCTTTGATGACGTAGAGTTTATTGTGATTCATATTGGAAAAAAGGACACTGTTGAAAATGGCAAGACAGTTGAGACAGCTGTTCATACTGTTTCGACGATCAAGAAACTGTAGGATAAAATGTTGTTGCTGGAATCCCCTTTTCCTTGTCATTGCATCTGAGGTATAGCCCAGGGAGCACTGCTACCCACATTAAGGCAACTCTTTACCACTGAGGTAGCCATATAAAGAATCTTTCTGAGAGCAGTCTCCCAAATTACTCATATTATGTTGCCAGACTATACTAGGTGTCACAACTTTAATCACTGGAATGCATGATAAATTGAAGCAGAAAACATCATATCCTAACTGCAAACAATAAAAATATTTCACAGGAAAAAAGGAAGCAATAGCTACCACACAGTGTAAACAGAAAATAGAAAAGTTCTGCATCATAGCCTCACAGGTTATTCTTAATCCATTCAATTCAATGGTGAATATAAAAAAATTATTATGTGTTGTTTTAGCTAAATAAGGCAATGTGCGTCCCTTGTTTTGCGCAACTTTGCTTTTTAAAAGATACAGGTGAAATAACTAGTGTGATTTGACATTATTTATCATAACATATTAATAGAAGTTTTGCTTGCTTTCTTTTTATTGTTTCAGGAAACTACTGAATTCAATTCAATGAGCAGCTGTTTTCTGCAGAGAAACCTGAGACTTCATTGATTCTGACAACTATCTGTAATGTTCCACTGTATAAAGATAGCATCTAGTATTATATAGAAAGCCATGGGCAAGCAAAGATGGCAATTAACAATTTAAAAGCAGTTATCTAGATTGGTTGGAAGAAACATTAGCTAAACACACAAGAAATATTTCATGGGTCATTTACTTAGTTTCCCACGAGCTGTACAACACTGCGGCTCTGTTTGACATTCACATAATACAGAATATTGCCAATGAATCATATGCAAACAGTACTAAATATAAGAGACTATGCAATAAGGTGACACATGCTCCAGTTTCATACATACATACATACATACATATAAAATTGAGACACGTAGAAGATCTGATAGTGATGGATGGGTTTTACAGTGTCGTGTGGCTACTTCTATGAAGTGTCATTAAGGGACCTGCTGAGTCCAAGAAAGCCATTACCAACCCAAGTCAGATATATAGATTTGCCTAAGAATGTCAAAACTATTATAAGAATAAAAAAATAATGTTTTGATTTGATGTAAGCACAGCTCCATAGGCTTTTCCTATGTTTATAATTTATAAGAACCAAAAGAATTGTCAGAGAGACCATGGATGTCATAAGAAATTCACATCACTCTTCATGGATCAGAAATGGCTCTGGTGATTTACAACATAACTTGAACCACAGTCATGACCTAAAAATGATGGAAATAATGCCCATATACTTGGGTTAATCATTGTTGCAATGAGGCTATTAGCTAATGATGGGTGAGAGTAATGGTATCCTCAACTTAGATTCCAGACATTGCTTCTTCCTGCCCCCTAGCAGTGTGTGGCCTTGGGGATGATGTGCTGCACTATATAGGAGGTGGAAAGTTAACTGGAGACTGAACTTTGGTGAAACAGCTTTCCTGAATCAGCGGCCAAGCTGTGGTGGGACTCCGCAGAGATGCAGCTGTCTTTGACTCAACCACGTTCCTGTAAGTAGCTCTTCTCCAAACTTCCACCAGTTGACCTTAATCATTGCATTATTGTACAAAGCTGATTTGAACAGTTATTTTCCCCATATATGAAGTGAATAGATATTTGTTAATACATGACCCACAGAAATAAAACAGTTAAAGTTGAGAAGGACTTTCTAATCATTTTTCTAGATCGTAGCTATATAACACCTCTTAGACCAGTGGTTCTTGGAGGGGAGCCTTCCTTCCAAGGAGACATATAGGAGTATCTTGAGATGTTTCACATCATCATAGTTGACCTAAGGTAGAAAAGAAGCATTTTATGTGTCTAGTAGTATAAAGTTGTATACCTATACAACTCTGAAATACGAATAAAGTTCCAGAACATGGAATTATCAAATTCACAAAATCAAAATTTCAGAAATTGAGACTTTTAACTGTAATGCATATAGGTAGAATTTATAACAATTACAGAAGGAAAAAGTAACATAAACTGATTCCTATGTCTCTGTTATGAGTTGCTTGACTGGAATGATGTATTCATATTTTATCCTGGGGACAAGTCAATGAGGATAACAAATGGAGTCATAAAAGGAAAATACTATTTCATCATGCATAAAAGCTGTGCAACTTTATACAAGAGCAAATAGCAGAACAGAAAGGGGAATTGGAAACACAATTCTCTACCCTTGAAGCTATTGGCAATTGATGAGAGGAGATACGATTTTTTTTTTTTTTTTTTTTTTTGCAATGTTTAGGCCCTTGTAATTTGAGCACGCTCCAATAGAAGACTGTATATCAAATAATATTTGGGTAGCACAAATTGATATTAAATATTGTTTTTCTAGTAACACAAAGTTGTGTGAGTGAGTAAGTTTTATGTTTGTGGACCTGGGTAGAATTGCAGAACAAGAAGTGAACATCAAAACATAAAAATTCTCAAAGAACAGAAAATGGGGTACAATTGGTTTTTTTGTTTGTTTGTTTGTTTTTGTTTTTTGATATTATATATTTAAATTTGAAACAAACTTGCTTTACATATCAATCCCAGTTCCCTCACACTTCCATCATACCCTATCCTCCCCACCAACCCCCCAACATTTCCTTTCTGTTCCCCAGGGAGGGTAATGCCTTCCATGGTGAGTCTTCAAAGTCTCATATCATTTGGAACAGCATCCAGGCCCTTCCCCATGTGTCTATGCAGAGAGAGTGCCCCTCTTTGTGGGATGGGCTCCCAAAGTCCATTCATATACTAGGGATAAATAGTGATCCATTACTATAGGCCCCATAGACTTCCAAGTCCTCCTGAGACTCTTATTCAGGGAGTATGGGTCGGTCCTATGCTGATTTCCCAGCTATCAGACTGGAGTCCATGAGCTTCCCCTTGTTCAGGTCGGCAGTTTCTGTGGGTTTCTCCAGTCTGGTCTTGACCCCTTTGCTCATCACTCCTTCCTTTCTGCAACTGGATTCCAGGAGTTCAGCTCAGTGTTTAGCTGTGGGTTTCTGCTTCTGCTTCCATCAGCTACTAAATTAAGGCTCTAAGGTGGCATATAAGGTAGTTATTAATCTCATTATCAGGGAAGGGCATTTAAGGTAGCCTCTCCAGTGTTGCTTAGATTGTTAGCTTGGGTCATCCTTGTAGGTCTCTGGACATTTCCCTGATGCCAAATTTCTCTTAAAACTTAGAATGGCTCCCTCTATTATGGTGTCTCTTTTCTTGCTCTATTCTTACCCCAACCAAACAATTATTACAGAAAACAATCAGAAATTCACTAGACATTAAATGGTCTGAACAGAAAGGCCTGTACATCCTTCCTTGACTTAAATTAATATCCAAATGTTTTATATTGCAGAGTACTCTTGAGTGTAATTTTTAAAGTGTAATAGGGACATTCATGATTTAAAATAATAATCTGAGAAAATGTGATTACTTGGACTAGTTTTCTCATTAGAAGCTATCTATTACACCTACCATGTTTAAAAAAAAACAGTTTCTTCAAAGGAGGCCACTATGACCATATAAGGCTTCCTTGACAGGATGGCTTTTGATAACCCTGAGGAATATATCTCAGAGTGCCGCCTCTTCTTCTTTAACAGGGACATTGCTTCTACTATTGTCCAACCTGCTCCTGTGGGACAATGTGGCATCAGTAACCATGTGTGCAATGAAGAATGGTCACTGCTTTTTGTCCTTGAAAAAAATGTTTCATATGGCAGGCAAACAGTCTCGTGAAGCCAGTGAAATAATTTCAGGAATATTCACTGATTTTGTAAGTATCGCATGAATTTCTGGCTTCTTAACCAATCAAGCCTCCTTCACAATGGTTGAGATACTGTATAACCTGAAGCAAAACAAACCATAATCTAAATCTCAAACAAGCATTCCTTCTCAAAGGATAAGAATACAGTAGCTACTGAACTGTGGAGCCAGTAAGGGGGCAGTTGCAAGAAAGGTAGACTCTGAGCTGAAATACTATTATTTTAACATTTAGCTACATAACTAAACATATGCAAGGCATAACAAAAGAAATGTTTCTCTTTTCCTTCATCTAGTGGGCTATTCGTTACTCCCATTCTTTTATTTATTTATTTATTTACTTGTTTGTATTACCTTTTAATGAAGATAGATGTTTTTTCTCAAATACAGTTTCCTCTCCCCCTATTCTTCCTAGAGCTTCCCCAAGTGCCCCATTCTAGATACACTCCATTTGTATCTCCCATTAGAAGAAAAAAAGGCTCTTTAGGGACAGTAATAAAATAAAATAAATAAAAACAAAACTAGTACATAAGAATCAAACAAATAAATAAACCACTAAGGAGAAGGCTCAAGAAACAAAGACCCCTTGTTCATACACTCTGGAATCCCATAAAAACATGAAACTGGAAGCAATAATATATACATAAATGACCTGATATAGATCCACACAGGCCCTATGTACCCTGTCTCAATCTCTGTGAGTTCATAAGTGTGTAAATTATGTTGATTTGGGGACCTTGGTTTCTTGATGTCTTCCTTCCCCTTTGGCTCTTAGATTCTTTCTATCTCCTCTTCTTCATGGTTCCCTGGCCTCTGAGTAGAGGGATTTGATGGAAAATTTTAGTTTAGGTCTTAGTGGTCCAAGGTGTCTTACTCTCTGCATATGTTTGGCTCTGGCTTTCTGTATTTTGTCTTCTGTAGGAGGCGGCTTCTCTGATGATGGCTGAATGAAACACTGATTCATTATGAGTCATTTTATTTTTACATTTTTCTTTGGTTTGTTTGTTTGTTTTTGTTTTTTGAAAGTAACATTTAGTTTTACCCTACGTCCAGTATTAGGTTCTTGTTGACCCATATACAGTGTTGAGTATGGGTTTGACCTCTCCTGGGGTGGGTATTAAGTCAAATCAGGTATTGCTTGTTTATGTCCGCAAGCTTTGTGACACTGTTGCCATAGGATACATTACAGTTAGGATACCATTGTTTATCAAAACATTTGTGGCTGAGCTGATCTTTGTTTCTCTTTTGATAGTGTACAAAGTTCCTTCCTGTTCCAAAGATATTAGAATACAGGGGTGAAGGTCTATGGAGGCACCAGCTCAACTTATTCATGTTCAATGAGTTCTATAGATGTTGTCTTCAGCAATGGAGCCGAGACATTTTGGGGGGAAAAATACAGCCTATGTTGTTTGGTGGTTTCTAACCCATTTGGCCTACAACTCAATTACATGTAATCCAATACTGGTATTAGACTCTTCATTTGGTGACAAGAGGTGACCAGATGGGGATCTGTCTCCACCATTATTTGATGTTTTCATCAACTCCATATATATATATATATATATGTATGTATGTATGTATGTATATATATATATATATATATATATATATGAAGTTTGTACTATATAAGTTTTCATGCTACTCTTAAATCGTCTTTAATTTTAGCTATCTATTCCCATATCTCCTTCCTCTCCCCTTCTCCATTTTCCATCCCCACTTGATTCTACCAATCTAGCCCCTCCATTTCTATTCAACACTACAGATTTATAATAAAGGAAATTTCATTGTAGTGACTTGTAATAAGTAAATAGAGTTAAATACACTGGGGCAAAGTCAAAGAGACCAAGAAAATTAATAACTGCTCTTCATATTCCCAAATGTTATGAGCTATTTTTAAAGAATTAAAAAATATTTGATTTGCTAACAAGGAGGTATGGCAGATGTATACAGGACAATTGTTTAGGTCTTTGTGATGAAGGCACTTTGAAAACTGTGTGTTAGATGTTCTACCTCAGTCAGTTAAGCCATAATAAATGACTTTTTTTTACATCAATGGGCATTGAGAAATCAGTTCAATACTTGCAAAGCCTATTATTCTTACTGTTCATTTTACATCCTATTGATTATGTCATTTACTTTTCCTGATGGGGTCACCACCAAGATCATCATAAACAAATTTTGAAACTATCAAATAACTCTCTAATAGTAGTTTTAAATAATAGATATTACAATTAATAAAGATATAGGGGTACATATAACAAATAGTTAAATATTGATTAATATACAACAGCAAAATAAATTTCCATTTCAGTTGGCACAAGGCTTATATTTCCTAGTACATTCTGTGTGGGGTTTAAGGCTTATTTCATCACAACCAGCACAATAGTATTCTGCATCCTAATGAAGTAGGTGAATATTCTTATGTAGGTGCCAAGGTATTTGCACAAAATGTTATATATTATGGTATAGCATTTTTTTTACAAGCGGCACATAAAACAATGGTAATTAGAAGCATTGCTCATTTTAACATCTGCTTGACAAATCACAACTTCTAGAATGACTGCAAATAGTGAAGAGGATGTGGGAAATTTGAAAATTAGATGAATTTAAACTAACACTACAGATCAAACTTAAAACATTAAAAATCTCCCCAGGGATGAGCCCCTAACTTGCTATACAATACCAAATAATATATACATGGATAGCACTAAACTGTCTCTTGGGTTGAATGTGTATATGCCTCTCTCTCTCTCTCTTTCTTTCTCTCTCTCTCTCATCATATCTCTCACTCCCTCTCTCTCTTTCTCTCTCTCTCTTCTCTCTCTCTCTCTCTCTCTCTCTCTCTCTCTCTGTGTGTGTGTGTGTGTGTGTGTGTGTAGATGTAACAACCATGATCAAACAAAAATACACCAAACATTAAGAGAAAGAGAGGAATGATAAGAAGAGTTAGAGACAGGAGACATGGGAAGGGTTGGAGAGAAGAAAAGGAAGAGGAAAACATGAAATTGTACTTTAATTAAAATAGTTCTCAAAGCCCATTTGTTTAATATGCTAGCTTCAGTTTTTAGTACTTTCAATGCAATTCTGCTCATTTACTCCTTTCTCAATTTCCACTCTCAACTGAATATTTTGCCAATTCAGAAAAAGCACTATGTTGAAGTCCATAGGCTCCAGAAAACAGTCCCCAACAAATGCCACACTTCTTCCATCCCCCTTCCAAAGAACAAGGAACAAGCCTGGAAAGCAGGGGTGAGTCCTTACTCCATGTATTTCTAAACAAAACTTTTGAAATAGTATACTGGATATATAATACTGTAAACAGTATTGTAATAGACATGATAATCAAATCTCCAGGAAAATGGAAACAGAATATACAAAAAAGGGAAAAAATACACTGTACAGTTGGTGAACTGTAAGTAATGTCTGAGAAGTAGTATTTTCATATATATGTATAAATTGTTTATGTTGAGGACCTTTTCCTTGCCCATTAATGGGACTCTTCGTATTATTCTGTTAGGGTTTTTAAACTGCCATTGACATTCAAGAATAAAGATGTATTGATGCAGACTTAGACATTGCCAATACAGTTGTATTGATCCTGTGTTAGTAATGGACTCTGCACTTACAAACCAGTTCACCATCTCTTTTTGGTTTCTAAGTATTTTCTGTTTCTGATTTTGTGTTAAATCTTCATTATCCTTACCTGTGTCATGCCTATAAGTCAGCTAAAGGAAGGAGTACAATATATATTGTGTGGTGCTCACTAATGTGCAGCCTTACAACTATGTGATTACACATCTACACTCATGGTCCTCTATTCATTATTTTTATTTTCTCTCACTATCAACTTCCTACATAAATCATCACAATATGATTTAGATTAAATATTATCATACAGCCTTATACATCTCTACAGTTAGAATATTTCCTCTGTGTTCTGCTTATAGGCAAATACTTTCTGTATCTCTATAATTCTTATTAAAATCAAAGTGAAATAATGAAGGAATGTGAAAAACATCAAAGTGAATAAAGAGAATATGCTTTATGAGAGTCAACTCTTTTCTAAAAACTTCATAAAGCGCTCTACTGGCATTTCTGAATTTAATTTACTCTAAAATTCTGTATCACAATGCCATTTTACACTTCTACAGTTGGTATCATCTGCAAAAGGTTGTTTAAAATACATATTTGAGTAACAAAAGGGAAGTTTTGATTACCCTTTTGAAGAAAAACTGCCTGAAACTAACTATTTTGTTTTGATTATTCTAATATAATTGTTCAAATGTGCTTACTTAGAAAAATGACTTACTGAAATCAGTGGACATTCTTTTGACTTCCTGGAACACTCCCCTGCAACACCTAGAGGATCTATTTACCTTGAAAGATGTCCCTGCTGTTGTCATTTCCAAAGTAAAAACAATGAAGGAAAAGGATGCTGGACTGGTGGAGGGTATTAAGACCCTTTACAACTTGGTAAGCTGTTCCCATATACTTCTCTTTGCCTTTCTTCTCATAAATAAGGTGACAAGAACAAGGATAATTGTGTTTTGAAGCATTTTGATTTGCAAAAAAAAAATAAAAAATAATAACATAAATTTTAAAATTAAAATAAAAAACAAATACTTTGGCATACAAATATCTAAATGGCACACTATTATGTGAATGCTGACAATTCCAACCTTCTGTGGTGAGTTTTATCGAGATCCTCACATACCATGGCTCTCAGAAGAAAAAAAATCATATATGTTCGTCATTTTCATTTGTACAGTAGCATCTTTGGTTAAAAAAAAAGACACTTAAGTACTTGAACTGTTATTTTTAGCACCATCATCCCTTGACTATTTGCATTTTAAACCATCAAGTATAAAACTTGTTGCATCTCAGGTAAATGTATACACATTATATAAAGGATTGATTTGGCTGAAAATAAAATATATTTTGTTAGAAAAAATGTATTTTCAATAAATGAAAAAAATGACAATATAAGTAATAAAGGAAAAGACAAACACTGTTGAGGACATGTAACATTCCCTAAAATGGCATGGTGAACATTTATTCTTTCATTGCCCTTTCCTCAAATCCATGTCTAAAGTCAAGTGATTTACTGAGTAGTCATCCCTCAACTTCTGTAAGACTGTAATTGATCAGATAAAAATTACAAACACCAAATCTTTTATTTGCCTTGTCCCACAACAATAAAAATTTATACATTTAGCTGCTTTTGGCAATTCTAACTTTTTACAAATTGTCACTAAGAATCTAGATGGGATATGCACCAAAATACTTAAATATAACTCAAATATGACTCAAAGTCATAACTTTGACTATGATTTTGATGATCAGCTTGGAAATGGAGAAACGGTGAACTACCCTGCCTGGACTGGAAAGGCATCCTTGAAGTCAGACAATGAAGATGCTCGCATTTTGGCTTTTTATGACATGATCAGCTGCCTGAACAGTGACTTTAAGAAGATTAAAATTTATCTCAACATTCTGAAGTGGAAAATTTATAGATTGAAAAATTACTAAGCCTTCTTCCATCTGATCTTCTTCTGAAATATGTGGCATCCTTCAAACATTTTATCTTTTGAATTTTGTTATTGTTGTCTCATTAAAAAATTAAAACTGGCAGTTTCCTTTGTACCTGGTTTCTACTTGATACCAAATATCACCCATATCAAGACATCTCTTTCGGTATCCTCCGCCCCTATCCAATCCCTAACTTGATTCCTCACATTACCATCTCCACTTGCTCCACTAATCTGCAAGGATTACCTCAGCTAGGAGTCCTAGCACTAGTGGAGAGGAAGCATGAACTGGCCCACTCCTATAATCATGTTGGTGAGTAGCCCAATTCCCATCAGTGAGCCTTCATCTGATGGAAACATATGTAGAGTTTCACAACTTAGCACGGGGCTGGGCTTGGGAAATCCCATTATAGAGAGGGAGGGCTTTAAGCTCCATGGGGGTAAAATGTCATCACAAGGGAACCCACATAATCAACTATTCTGGGCTCATAGCTCTTATAGTCTGGACCAACAGCTAGGGACCCTGCATGAGACCAACCTACACCCTCCACATATGTGCAACAGTTGTATCATTTGGTCTGCTTGGGTATTCTTAACAGTGGGATCAGAGCCTGTACCTAATGCTTGGCTGGCTTTTGGGAACCTATTCCTCATGCTAAATTGCCTTTCCCAGCCTTAATGCAAGGAGAAGAGCTTAGGCCTGCCTCCAGTTGATATGCCTTGCTTTGTTGACACCCATAGGAAGCCTGTACCTTTCCAAACAGAAAAATAGGAAGAATGGATGTAGAGGGAAGGAGGAGAGTTGGGTGGATGGAATGGAAGGAGAGGAGGGAAGGGAAATATTGGTCAGAATGTAAAATAAAAATAAATACATATCATAAAAAAATAAAACTATAAAGTGGCTCCATTAGTGTAAAACTCTCAATGGTGAATTGCTCAAAAATTCTATTAGTGATTTAATGTAACAATCTGTACTAAACATATTTCAATCAAATATTTGCAAGTAATGGAAGTTACACATGCAGCCAACACATTTCATAACAAATTTAACAATTGAGAATTTCTGATGTCAAATTGTAAGAATCAAGTGTGGTGTTTTTCGGAATCTTCCTGGTGAGCCTATAAACCTTGCAATATTTGGTATCATTACCTAAAGCCAGACGCTTCTTATCACACACTTGCAGAGTTCTGAAAGAAAATACGATTACGATGGGATTTTTCACTTGATTATGTGTGTGGTACAAAATCATTAAGTTTTATAAAGTCCCATTTGTCAATTGTTAGCCTTAATTCTGGGGTAAAATAAAGACTTCTATTTATATCCCTTTTTGTGTACCTACACTTTATAGATGACTGCCTTTATATTCTAGCAGTTTCAATGTTTTAGAATTCACCATGATGTCATTGATACATTTCTGGGTAGGTTTTTTTTTTTATTTTATTTAATTTTATATAACAAAGTCCAATTAAATGAAAACAAACATTTATACACAATATTGGGAAATTTGGGCGTCATTCTTTCCAAACTACTTCCTGCTGGTAAGGGGCATTGTCATGGGGGATTCGAAGATGATTCAGATATCCTGGCTGTAGTCTGTAGGGCTGTTTTGTCCAGCTGTTTTGAATGTAGGATCAGCTTGTACTCTGTTTCAGACAGTCTGGCGTGATCAAACCACATTAGTCTGGAAGGAATCCACATCTTTTCATTTTCTGTGGGAAAAAAAATTGGAAATCCTTTTCCTCTGGGTAGGTTTTAAGCAAGGTAATAAGTGTGATTATAATTTAATTCTTCTATATATAAATATCCAGTTAATCCAGTGTGTATTGTTGCCATTTTTGTCAAATATCATATGGTTCTAATTATGTATGACTAGATGTACATCTTCTATCCTATTTCATTGATCTCTATACGGGGGTTCATGCAAGGATCATGCTTCAACACTATGCTGAAGAAGAGTAAGAGACACATACCAGAGTGATAGGGGATTCTTTGGTTGATGAATAAAGCTATTACAGGCAATGTACAGTCAGAATTTAGCTAGACAAGAGGCATGGAGGAGGGCTCCTGCATCCTGTCCCCATTGAGAACACCCTGGACCTCTGATACAACCACACCCATCCCCACCACTAGCGTGGCCCCCTACACTCTTCCCTAACCTGCCCACTGTCCCGCTGCTCTGGTTGAGCACTGGGACAGAGAGTGGAGCCAACAGTCCACACAACTTTGGGGGACTTCTCAGAGCAGGTCTGAACACAGGAGACCTGTCTATCCATGCAGGACCACCCATAATTTCCACCTGCTTGGTCTCCGACCCCCACCACTGGTACTCTGCTAGAGACCCAGGCCAGAGATCTGCCTATCTCTGCAGGACCACTCTAAGTTCTTGCCAGCATCTGCTACTGGATCCTCATCACTGACCCCATCCCAGGGCCCCTGTCTGTGAGGAGACCTCCTAAAGAGCTTGGGCCACCCAGAGCTAAAGATATTGAACCTCTGACCCACATAAGTCCACTGGGGAAGTAACATAGAGAGAGGAAGAGAACCCACCAACACCTACTGGAAGAACCTATGGGAAGACGGCAATACAAGACAACACCTAACAATAGAAAGACAAGCATGACACCACGAGAATCTAGGGAATCTATGCCAACTAGAACACAACACACCAACAAAGCAGATGAAGCAGAAGAGAATGACTTAAAAATTACCATCATAAAAATGACAGAGGCCCTCAAAGAAGATGTGGGGAAATCCCTTAAAGAAATGGAAGAAAAAAACAAACAAAAAAGTGGAAGAAATGAGCAAATTTCTTAAGGAAAGTACAGAAAGCCAAGCAAAAACAATTAATCAGGGGAAGGAAATGATTCAAGAATTGAAAACTGAAATAGAGAAAATAAAAGCAACACAAACCAAAGGAATGCTGGAAATAGAAAAACTGGGAAAAACATCAGGAACTACAGATGTAAGCATAACCAACAGAATTCAAGAGATGGAAGAGAAAATCTCAGGCGCAGAAGATAAACTAGAAGAAATAGACTCATCGGCCAAAGAAAATCATAAATCCAAAAAATTCTTAACACAAAACATCCAGGAAATGTGGGACACTGTGAAAAGGCCAAACCTAAGAATAATAGCCATAGAGGAAGGTGAGGAAGCCCAGCTAAAAAGGAGCTGAAAACATATTCAACAAAATCATCAAGGAAAACTTTCCCAATCTGAAGAAGGACATGCCCATGAAAGTACAAGAAGCATACCAAACACCAAATTGGCTGAACAAAAGAAAAAAGACCCCTCAACATATAATAACCAAACACCTAGCACACAGAATAAAGGAAGAATATAAAGAGCAGCGAAGGAAAAAGGACAGTTAACATATAGGCAGACCTATTAAAATTACACCTGACTTCTCCATGGAAACCCTCAAGGCCAGAAGGTCCTGGATTGATGTTGTACAAATATTAAGAGAACACGGATGCCAGTCTAGGCTACTATACCCAGCAAAACTCATAATCACTATAGATAGAGAAAACAAGATATTTAATGACAAAAACAGATTTTTTTCCCAATATGTATCTACAAATCCAGCCCTACAGAAAGTATTGGAAGGAAAACTCCAACCCAAGGAAGTTAACTATGCCCACAAAAATGTAGACAACATATAGTCTAATTACATCAGAAACCAAAGGTAAAGCAGGACACATACATTCACAATACCACTACCAACAACAAACCTAAAACAAGCAAGCATCAACAATCAATGGTCCTTACTCAACCTCAATATTAAAGGTCTTAACTCACCTATAAAAAGACATAGGCTAACAGAATGGATATGAAGACAGAAACCATCCTTCTGTTGCATACAAGAAACACATCTAAGCTTCAAAGATAGACATTACCTCAGGGTAAAGGGCTGGGAAAAGATCATCCAATCAAATGGAACCAATAAGCAAGCAGGCGTGGCTATCCTAATGTCTAACAAGTTAGATTAAAACCAAAATTAATCAAAAGAGATGAACACAGTCATATTGTATTCATCACAGGAGAAATCAATCAACACAAAGTCTCAGTTCTGAACATCTATGCCCAAAATACAAAGGCACCCACATTCGTAAAAGAAATGATACTAAACCCAAAGCTCATATAAAACCTCACACACTTATTATAGTGGGAGACTTCAACACACAAAACTCAACAATAGACAGGACCACCAATCAGAAACTCAACAAAGAAACAAAAGAACTAACATAATTTATGTCTCAACTGGGGTTAACAGACATCTAACATTCCATCCAAACACAAAAGAATATAACTTGTTCTCTGCTCCACATAGAACCTCCTCTAAAATTGAACCCATACTAGGTGGCATGACAAACCTCAACAGATACAAGAGAATAGGAATAGTCCCCTGTATCTTATCAGACCACCATGCTTTAAAAATTGGAATTCAACACCAACAAAAATAGCGGAAAACTTGCAAATACATGGAAACTGAACAAGGTGCAATTGCACCACACCTGGGTTAAAGAAGAAATAAACAAAGAAATTAAGGACATTCTAATATTCAACGATAATGAGGACACAACATAACCGAACTTATGGGACACCTTGAAAGCAGTACTATCAGGGAAATACAATGAACTAAATGCCCATATGAAGAAAAAAAGAGGATAGTCACATAAGAGAATTAACAACACAAATGAAAGCCTTAGAACAAAAAGAAGCAAACTCACCCTGGAGGAGTAGATGGCAGGAAATAATCAACTTCAGCTCTGAATCAAAGTCAACAAAATAGAAACCAGGAAAACAATAAAAAAAAAATCAATGCAACAAAGAGTTAATTTTTTGAGAAAATCAACAAGATAGACAAACCTTTATCCAAATTAACAAAAAAGCAGAGAGAGAGAACATGCAAATTAACAAAATCAGAAATGAAAAGGGGAACATAACAACGGACACAGAGGAAATCCAGACAATTTTTAGGTCATAATTTCAAAACCTGT